GTTTATCTGCTCTTACTCATCTCCTGGGTTCTCCTGCTTCAGTCTCTTCTCCTCAGTGCTGGTGACTGCCCTTCACTTCTGCTGCCTGGCTGAGGGTGCCAAGAGGGTTTCTCACCTCTCTCCATGGAAAGAGCCATGGATGCTGGTGCCAGGAGTGCATAGACACCTGTCCTGGATAGAAACCATCTTCTTCTCTTGGGCATTTGGTGGAGAGATAGAGACCAAAGCTGTGAAGACAGCCTGAAAGAGCTGGGGTTGTTCAGCCTGGAGAAGAGAAGGCTCCAGGGAGACCTGAGAGCAGCTTCCAGTGCCTGAAGGGGCTCCAGGAAAGCTGGGGAGGGGCCTGGGACAAGGGCAGGGAGGGATGGGATGAGAGGTAATGGCTTTAAACAGAAAGGGAGGAGGTTAGACATCAGGATGAAATTCTTCCCTGTAAGGGGGGTAAGACACAAGCCCAAGTTGTCCTGAAAAGCTGTGGCTGCCCCATTCCTGGAAGTGTTGGATTGGAGCTTGGAGAAACCTGGGCTGGTGGGAGGGGTCCCTGCCCATCCAGGGAGTTGAAACTGAATGATCTTCAAGGTCCTTTCCAACCCAAACCAGTCTGGGATTTTATGATGATCAAGTCCCAGTGCCCAGCTCCCTCCAGATGTCTCACCATGGCCTCCCTTACCTGATGGATCCAAAACTCTCTCTTCTCCTTCCTATTGTTTTTTTCCCACATCTTTTTTCCTCATTTTCTCTTCAGCTCAGCTGCCTCCTTTCTCCTGCCTGTTGGTTTCACCCCCTGACACACAGAACCTGCTGCTCCTTCAGGAGGCTTTGGTCCTACATTCACACAGACCTTCCCCCAACAGGTGCCTGGAGCTGCTGCTCCTGGGGTTTCCTTCTGCACCTTTTCAATGCTTGTGGCTTTGTGCCTGGGAGCTCCTGTGGGGCATTTGTAATGTGCAGAAGGGATTTTTGGCAGTGAATTGGGATTCTAAGATCACAGCTTTTGGTGTCTCTATCTGCCTGGGGAGAAGCCCCAGGGAACTGGGAGCAAATGGAGGTTGGGCTCCTGCATAAGGTGGCCTTACAAGGTGCTGCCTAGCAGACACCCCTTTTGAACACCTCTGCATCCTCTTGCAGCTCTCTGGGGTGGTAGATGCCCTCAGTTCCAGGCAAAAGAAGATGCAAAACTGTGGGTTGTAGAGCAGCCCTTGCACCGTGGCAGCTGCTCTGGGCAGCGCACAAGGAGACCCTGCAGAGATGCAGCCTGGCTCTAAAAATCTACTTCATATGTGGCTTGTCATGGACGTGGGGACAGTTGAACCCTGCAAAGCCTTCTCATTGTGGTCACTGTGTATTGCAGGTCTTAGTAGCTGGTCCCCTCCATCCCCCAGGGCTGTTCAGACTGCTTGAAGCTGGGTTTGGGTTTTGATACTTCCTGGCTGCGAGGAGATGCCAGCTTTGGCAACCTTGCTGGAGGGTTTCCAGCACTCTGGAGATCTCTGTTGCTGCACCCCCACAGGGCAGGATCTGGGCTGTGTTGCCATTTTGTCCTGATGGCCCATTTTTTGGTCATCTTTAGCTCCATCCCTGCATGGACACAGTTGCCCCCTGGTCGGTGCAGCCTCTCGGTCCCAACTCTGTAAGGCTGGAAGGTCCTAAGAGCAAATCCCCCCCCCCAGCTCAGTGCACAGGCTGGGAAACCACAGTCCCTTCCAGGTTGCCAGTGATTCATATGCAAATGTTGGGAACAAGCAGGATGCCAACTTGTGCCCCTGCATCCCAGCCATGGGGTGAGGAGAGGAAGGGATCAGCCAGCAAAAGCAGCCCTGGTGCCCCACAGAGAGGTGGTTGCACTGGGATGGCAACGTGCAGGGGACTTGGTTTAATTAACATTTCTGTCTGATGAGAAATAATACAAGCTGTTCAAAGCCACGCTGGGCAAGGCTGAATGCATCAGATTAGGGAGTCTGATAATCCTCAAGCACAGGTTTCGTGGAGCTTCCCCAGGGCTGCTTTGGTTCCTGCTACGAGCGTTTAAAAATCCATCCAGCAACTGGGGTCGAGTTGGAAGGGAAGGTGCAGAAAAGCCACATGAGGCAAACCCCCCCTTCTGTCCTCATCCTCCTCCAGGATCTAATTACCTCATCAGCACACATTAATGAGCAGGACTGCACCTCCTCCTTGACCCCATCCATTCCTCCTCCCGGAATCTTTCTGCTCCCAGAGCTGTACTTGCTTCCTCAGCTTTGCTGGGGTTTCCAGTGAGACGGAGCCTCTGTCCAATGAATCATTCCAGCTGGACCTCCATTTGCTCTCCAGATGGCTCAGCCCTCTTAAGCTGCCCTGGTGTGCTATATTTTTCTTTTCCCTGAGCTGTGATGGGTTTTCCCTGGGTCCTGGCTCCTCCCTGGCTGGCTGTTATTGACAGCTGCGTGGCTAATGCCCTGTAGATCTCTGGCATGTCATTCAGGAGAAACAAAAGCAGATTTCTGCCCCCACCTCTCTGGCAGGGAGGATAAAGGACATGCTTTTGTGCTTCTTCCCCAAGCAGAAGAGCTGAGCGTGCTGTGCAAGGGGGACCTGTCTCTGTGCAGAGCCCCAGGGTGGATGGGAGCTCTCCCAGAGGGAACTTGAGTCTTCCTTAGGTCCCACCTGGAGAACACAACCTGTGGGGCAGGTAAGGGTTGGGCTTCTTCTTGGGGAGGCTTGGAAAAGAATGAAATGGCATCAAATATAATGCAGCATTTGCTGCTGGGTGGCACTTGGAGGGAAGGGGGGGTGACCCTGAGGGGAGTGTGCACGGGTGAGGGTGTTTGTCATCATTTGTCTTATGGGGAGGCAGGAGGGATGTGAGGTGAGGAAGGGCATTTGGATTAACTGGGGAGGAAGAGGGGGGAGTGTCTCTTTTTCTAAGGAGATCACCCCAAGCTGGTTCTTCAAGGAGCTGTTGGTGACCCCGACAGTTTGGGAACGCGTGGGGATCAGGGAGAGGAGGGAGGAGGTGGATGTGTTTGTCTTTCCTGGTTGGATTCGTGTGTGTCTGCAGACCTTGGAGTTTGCTGTGCTGTTTGCAAAGGTGTCTGTCCCCAGAGAGCTGCCTTTGTTCTAACTTCTCCACGTGACTTTAAACCTCCTAACATCAGTTCCCTCCATGCACAGCCCTGAGCATCCGTCAGGGGTGTTTGGGGTATTTAGAGCCTTCTCCCACTCCCATGGGATTTCTTAGATCTTTAGGTAGGGCTTGTCATGCTCCCTCACTGCTCCTCAGGTCTCTGCAGCTCCCCTGTGGCAGGGGCAGAGGTGTTTTCCCCATTGCTGGGGGATCTTGCAGGCACAGAGGAGACAGTGATGCTTTCTCAGCATGATGGGGTGAGGATCCTCAGGACTAGTTTGGTTGCCCTACACGTGGCTCCACCTGGTGCAGGTGTGGCCAGGAGGTGTTCCCTGGAGCACAGGAGAACCTGAGCACCTTTGGGGGCTGTAGTCAGACCTGAAGGCTGCCTGGGAGATGCAGGTGTAAGAAAAGAGATTAAGAACTGGAGCTAAGGCAGGACTTTTGATTCCAGGTGATCATCCTCAAGGGATGTGCTACCTGCCCTCCTGTAAGGGAGTCTGTGGACATCACAAAGCCCATGATGTCTGGTAACTTGTCACCCACTGGGGACTGGTGCTCCTGCCAGAGACTGGTGGTGAGATGCTTCAGAGCTTGACTCAGGGAGGGGCTAGAGAGCAGAGCCTGAGCACCCCCCCCCAAAAAAAAAGAGATCTCTTTGCTGTTATAGAACCTCAGAAAAACAGTCTGAAAGCTGCATGGCCAAGGTAGAAGCTGGGATCAGGATCTCCTGACTGCCCCCCCTGGCATCCCCCACTCATGTTGACTTTCTGCCATGCTCTTAAAGCCCAGGTGGTGACATTTCTGTCCCCCATCCAGCTGGGCAGAGCAGTCAGGCAAGTGCAGGGAGACCCAGGTTCAGTCCCCTCCTCGCTCTTCCCCCCAGGTCAGGGATTTGTGCAATCGTGAGGGGTCAGGGCAGTTTTTCTGGAGAGAAGTGGAAGGAATGGAGCAGAGCCAACCTGGTAGTAGGTCTAGGGTGGTCGAGGTAGTTGTTGAGGGTTTGTGGTCTTTGATTCACTCACCCTTGTGATAGAATTCTAGATTCTAGTCACTGTCATGATGCTCCTCTGCTTTTCAGCCCCCCCCCCTCTGCAGGCAGAGCCCCTTCTCCCCAGGGATTTCTCCTTCCAGTGGACTTGGCTGCCTCCCCAGAGTTTGAGCAGGGATCACCTTTTTGGATGTGCAGCTCCAGGCTGAGCAGAGGGCTTTCCCTGCCCAGCAAGGATGGGTCATGCTGCCCACACTGCCAGTGCAAACTGGGAACCATTGCAGTTTGAAAGAGACAAGTTGTCTGCTTTACTTTTTTGCACTTCACTTTATGAAGGTCTTTAGGAAAGGCTTTTTCATCATCTGGAGGAGAAATCTAGCAGGAGGTGATGTCAGATGTAGAGATCTCTGGTTTGGGGCAGCTCATGTCATAGCTGCCTTTAGCAAATCCCACTCTCACACCCTTACCTCTGGATTTCAGCCTGGATTAAGACACTTGGGGAACCATGGAGGAGAGAAAAAACCAAGATACTGTATTTGATAAGATGGGGAAACCAGTTAAAAAGAGTTAAGAGATATCAGAGAAAGGATGTCCAGGTGTTTGGACAGTGTAGGTTGGGCAAGGCAACTGCCTTGGAAGGAACATCTCCTAAAGGCAGAAGAGGTTGGTCTACTGGGATAGGGTTGGATTGGAAATATCCATCACTCTGCTGGGGTTTGGAGGAAACGTTGGTTACTGAGGATCAGCCACGTGTGGGGATGAAGAGGCAGAGTCTGACTGTGTCTGGGCTGGAATCTGTGCTTCCCTGTGGCACCAAGAGAGGTGCCAAACTCATTATATTGTTGGACAAGCAGATCTTTCACCAGTGTCCTGTTCTTTTGTCTCCTCCACCGCTTCCCAGTCAGGATGCATCGGGTGATGAAAGAGGAGTCAAGTTTCAGGACAGGCAGCCTGGAAAACGTGACAAGAGACCCAAGCAAAGCAAAGCTGCACGTGAAGCCCTGCAGTGGGTCCTGCCATGCTGAGCAGATCCTCCAGACACTCAACTCCTACCGCCGGAGCGGCACCTTCACTGACGTGGTGCTGCTGATTGATGGGCAAGAATTCCCCTGTCACCGTGCCACTTTGTCAGCCAACAGCACATATTTCAGGGCCATGTTTGGTAGCAACCTCAAGGAAGGCCACCAGGATATTATCAATATCCAGAAGATTTCTGCTCCCACCATGTCTCTCCTCCTCGACTACATGTACGGGGGGAACATCATCATTCAGGAGGACAACGTTGAAAGCATCTTGGAACTGTCTGACTTGCTGCAGATCTCCAAGCTCAGAGATGCTTGTGTCACCTTCCTCGAGGACCAGCTCCACCCATGTAATTGCCTGGGCATCATGAAGTTTGCTGATTCGTTCTCCATCACGTCCCTGACCGAGAAGAGCAAGAGGTTCACGCTGGAGTGTTTTGTGGAGGTGTCCTGCCATGAGGAGTTCCTGGAGATGGATGTGAAGGAGCTGGTTGAGTATCTGTCTGATGAGCAGCTGGTGGTGCCCAGGGAGGAGGTGGTGTTTGAGGCCGTCATGCGCTGGGTCCGGCACGACGTGCCCACCAGGAAAGCAGCCTTGAAGGACCTCCTGGAGCACGTGCGCCTGCCCCTGCTCCACCCCACCTACTTCCTGGAGAAGGTGGAAATGGATGGGCTCATCCAGGACTCCAAGGAGTGCATCCCCCTCCTGCACGAGGCCCGCAAGTACTACATCCTTGGCAACGAGGTCAGCTCTTTGAGATCCAGGCCCAGAAGGTAAAACGTGGTGTTGTCTTTGCTAGACCTGGATGGTTGAAGTTGGTGGGTCTTAAACGTTTGTGGGAGTTTGTGTAGTGATAGGATAAGAGGGAACAGCTTTAAACTGGAAGAGGGGAGATTCAGATTGGGTATTAGGAAGAAATTCTGTGCTGTGAGGGTGGGGAGAGCCTGGCCCAGGTTGCCCAGAGAAGCTGTGGCTGCCCCATCCCTGGCAGTGTTGAAGGGCAGGTTGGATGGGGCTTGGAGCAGCCTGGGCTGCTGGGAGGTGTCCCTGCCCATGCAGGGGGTTGGATCTAGATGAACTTTAAGGTTTCTTCCAACCTTAATGATTCTATGATTCTATAAATCTCCCCTCTTTCAGCTTGAAACTGTCCCCCCTCATCCTGTCACTCCACACCCTTGTCAAAAGCCCCTCTCCATCTTTCCTTTAAGAAAGTCCTGAACTGCTACATAACAGGGTCCCCATGGTGACCTCCTGAAGGATGAAAACAATAAAAATTCACTGGAGATAAATCCCACCCCCCAGCATCCCCATTTTACCTCCTTCCTTTTACAGACTTGGGCTTAAGAGAATTGTCTCAGGCCACACCAACTTGGAACCAAGTCTTTCAAGTCCTGTTTCCCCCCTCCCCCCCCTTCTTCTCCTCTCCCCTCCTGCAGAGCTGTTCCTCACTTGTCACCTTCCAGCTGGCAGGAATTTCCTTCTCCTGCTGTCTGTCTCATCTGCTCTCTGCTTTTAGGGCTGGAGAGGGTGAGATTTCCTGGAAACACTTCTCTCTCCAGGCAGAGAGCTTGTTGGAGGCAGGATGCCAGGAACAGCTTTCCACACCTTTGGCTGTGCCTTGAGGATTAGGTTTGATTGTCCTGGGAGGGGGAGGGTGGAGACAATTTCATGAAGAACTTTTAAAGGTTATTCCCATATTTTATTTTTTCCCCATTATGTGGTTTGGACCCTTTTCTCACTCAGTCTGGGAGGGTCCTTTGATTTGATGGTGTAGACAGACGGGAAGGTGTGAAGGGGGTGAAACAATTTGCCCAGAAAATCAGTGGCAGGTCATAGAATCACAGAACGGTTGGGGTTGGAAGGGACCTCTGGAGAACATCAATCTAACCCCTCAGCTAAAACAGGTTCACCCAGGTCAGGTTGCACAGGATTGCATCCAGGTAGCTGTTGGCTCTGTCTAGAGAAGGAGATTCTGGGCAGCCTGTGCCAGGGCTCTGGTACACTCAACATAGAGAAGTTTTTCCAGGATGCAGGAGAGGATCTTGGCCCATCTACTGGACCTTCCTGCCAATGTCCCAGGTAGGATGATGTCAAGGAGTATCCTGGCCTGGAGATTTACCCAAGCCTCTCATGGTCTAGGTTCATGGAGCTGGCAGAAGTCATCATCATCATTGGGGGCTGTGATAAGAAAGGCCTTCTGAAGCTGCCCTTCACAGACCTCTACCACCCCAAGAGCAGGCAGTGGACAGCCCTCTCCAGTGTGCCTGGCTACACCAAGTCAGAGTTTGCTGCCTGCACGCTGAAGAACGATGTGTACATATCAGGTGAGATGCCCTGGACCAGATGGTCCCCTTCCTGGTTGTAAAAAAACCATCATGACCTCTGCTTGGACATCTGCTCCTTAGTTCTATTGAACAGGACTCAGCCACATGCATCCCAGCTTTGGAGCAAAGTCACTTCTTGGTGAGGTTTCTCCTCGGGTGGTTTGGCTTTTGCTGTCCCAAGAAACAATTTCACCTTCAAGGGGGGAAGACACCAGTATGAAAAAACCTTCTCCTCCTGTTGGACAATTTGTTAAAAGTGCTCAGCTGTGGGATGAGCTGATTTTGGTGTGTCCTGTTCCTAAACCATCAGAGTCTCCTGCTTGTCCCTCACTTAAAATGTAATGCCCAGCAGAGGAGCTCTATCTAAGGAATGGAGCAGTGTGACAAGTGCTTTGAAGTCCAGAGGGTGTCTGCCTTGGGAAGCTGAGTTTACGTGGCTGTTACCCAATATTCTGGCCTAAGTTGTCCCACTGCAGGAGGAACTGGGCACCGCTGGTGTAGGGAGGTGATGGGGCTGTCCTTGGGGTCACACTGCTCTCTCTTGCAGGAGGACACATCAGCAGCAGTGATGTTTGGGTGCTGAGCTCCCAGCTGAATGTCTGGATCAAGGTTGCTTGTCTGCAGAAAGGTCGGTGGAGGCACAAAATGGCCACACTGCAGGGCAAGGTGAGCCACGTGGAGCACTGACCCCACTTCAGGTCCCACAAGAACCTCATGTCAGTGTGTGTTTGTCTTCTGGGTCATTTAGAGATGGTTTTGATGGGAGAACAAGTAGAATGTAACCAAGACATCATCAGTTGGGTTGGGGGTATGTTGTCTGGAGCAGCCACAAATGAAGTTGTACCCTGAAGACCTACAACGGGATGGTGCAAGTCTTCTGCAGGGAGCTGGGTTAAATCTTTGGGTGAAAGATTGTGTGGGGTGTTCCAGAGAATCACAGAATGGCTTGTGGTAGAAGGCACCTTGGATGGTCATCTAATCCAGTCCCAAGGTTTTACCACGGCTTGATCATAGACTAGTTTGGGTTGGAAGGAACCTCAAAGATCACCTAATTCCAACCTCCCTGCATGAGCAGGGGACAGGAAGGATGTCTGTCTTCCTGGCCAAGTCCCAACCTCCCCTCCAGGAGTTTCTAACCAGCCTTGCTTTGCTCCTTCTGTGGCAGATCTACGCGGTGGGAGGCTTTGATGGCTTTTTCCGCCTCTCCAGCCTGGAGTGCTACGACACCTTTTCCAACAGCTGGTCAACCTTGGCCCCACTGCCTCAAGCTGTGAGCTCAGCTGCCGTGGTCTCCTGCCTCAACAAGCTCTATGTGATGGGTGGGGCTGTGGATGACACCTCCAACACCGACAAGGTATTGCTGGGGCACCAGGAGCGGGCAGGGACCTGGAAAGGGAGGTTGGCCTGGGGATGTGGAGGGAAACGGGGTTGTCCTTCAGCTTCAGGTTGGGGAGTAATGCTTCTGGTCTCCTGAGCTGCAGGAAGAGCCATCAGTGCTTCTCAGCTCCATCTCTGAACTCTTAACCATGCACTGTCTAGGTCAAGGACATGGGGACTCCTGGTTTGTCTGGGGGACTTGAATTCAGGAGGGAATGTCAGAACCTCTCATCCCCTTGCTCACTGCTCGGGTTTCTGGGTGCTGAAGATCCCATCCATGTTTCTGGCCCCCTGTGCTATTATTTCCAGTGAACAGCAGCTTCAGCCAAGCAGGAAGGTGTGGTCAATTCATGTTCCCATAGCTGTGTTTCTCCTCCCAGGTCCAGTGTTATGATCCAGAGGAGAACAAGTGGACACTCTTGTCTCCCACCCCTTTTTACCAGAGGTGCATCAGTGCTGTCTGCTTGGACAACATCATTTATGTTGTAGGTGGGCTCCTCAGTAAAATCTTTAGCTATGATCCAAGGAAAGACAGCTGGCAAGAAGTGGCCACCCTCCCTGGACCTCTGGTAAGGAAGAATTTTAGGAAAGAAGTTCAGAGCTTTCCTCTTCCCTCTAGGATGGGAGATCAGGGTGCTTTGCTGGGGTGGAAAGCAAGGAAAATCCATGGTGGGTTTGGCTCTGAAAACGTGTTGTCAGGCACTGGAAGGGGCTGCTCAGGGCAGGGGTGGTGTCCCTGCCCTCGGGGGGACTTCAAAGCCTTGTAGATGTGGTGCTGAGGGACATGTAGTCTAGGTGATCCTGCTCTGACAGGGAGGTTGGACTAGATGATCTTTTGAGGTCACTTCCAACCCCTAAGATTCTGTGATTCTGTGATGGGTTAGTGGGCTTGGCAGTTCTGCATTAATGGTTGGACTGGATGATCTTAAAGGTCTTTTCCAACCAAATTGATGTGATGGTTCTATGTGGGCATGACCCCTGAGGAGCAACTCAGACACAGGTACTCTCACCTTCAGTGTCCATACAGCCTGGGGGATGTCTCTTCCACAACAAATCCAAGCTTTCTTGCTGTGTCTCCACTAGCTGTTCAGGCCAGAGAAGTGGATCTGTAGAGTGAAAACACTGGTGTTTTGAGGACCTGTTCTCCACACTGTGTGTTGCAGGGTGAGGGTTTTATTGGTCTGGTCTGTGGACTGAACACAGACTGGTGGTGGTTGTGTCTCTTGGTTCAATGTGATGATGGTTTTGCACCCCAAAGCCAGGCAGCCCTGTGAGCTGTGGCTCAGTGAAGAGGGATGATGGGACACAGCTCAGCTCAACCTCAACTACAAAGCCCACGTCAGTGCACCCTTGTCAATGACCTTCACAGGGAGGTGCTGGCTGGCTCTCTGACCTCTTGGTGTGCTTGTGCGTCCGTGCTGTGCTTGGGGGACTGCCAGGAACAGCAATGGTCTCATCACAGGCTTGAGGAATTTCAAGTGTCTAAGCTGTTACCCAAGCAGTAAGACTGCAGCACCCCAAGAGCCAGACATCACTTATCCTACCTACTTGCCCTGCCTTCCTTTGGGCAGGGGAGAGTTGATCCCATTGCAGTGCTGAGCCCCCTTTCCTAATCACAGAATCACAGACTGGTTTGGGTCTGAAGGGACCTTCATGAACATCCAGTTCCAACCCCCTGCATGGGCAGGGACACCTCCCAGCAGCCCAGGCTGCTCCAAGCCCCATCCAACCTGCCCTTCAACACTGCCAGGGATGGGGCAGCCACAGCTTCTCTGGGCAACCTGGGTCAGTGTCTCACCACTAGTGAAGCATTTCTTCCCAATATCCAACCTATACCTATCATCTTCCATCCTGAATCCCTTCCCCCTTGTCCCATCCTTGTCCCAAGCCCCTCCCCAGAATTCCCGGAGCCCCTTTAGGTTCCAAAAACCTGACTCACTCCTCAACTCTTGCTCTTCCCTTTTTTACTTTCCAGGAGAGCTGTGGCCTGACAGTGTGTGGAGGGAAGATCTACATCCTGGGTGGCCGAGATGAGAATGGAGAAGGCACAGACAAGGCCTTCACGTTCGACCCGGCGACGGGGCAGGTGGAGCAGCAGCCGCCGCTCCAGCGCTGCACCAGCTACCACGGCTGTGTCACCGTCCTGCAGCGCAGGGACAGGTGACCGTGGGGCTCCACTTCCCACCTGGAACCTCCCCTTGAGGCAGTGGCCACCCAGCACCTGGGCAAACATCTCAGCATTGTGTGGGGAAGGGCAAGGAGGAGCTGCTGAAGGAGGTTTGGTCGAGCCAGCCCCGGAGCGGCGTGTTTGTTTGCCCTGATGGTGCCAGTGGCTTTGAGGCTGGTCTAGGGGACAGGATGAAAGGGTGCTGGGCTGTGTGAGGCTGCACCCCAGACCTTGCCACACTTGCAGCCCCTGGAACAACTGAATCCAACCTTTGTGCAGGTTTTTCTGGCAGTTTTCTGTCATGTCGACCACGGGTCCTGGCTCTCCTGCAAGGACACTTATCTGCTGCTTTCTGAAGCCCAAGCCTGTGCCATTAACAATTACTGCTACAGGATCCAATTCTTTAGCTAAAGCTACGAGATATCTGTGCATTTACCTTCTAGAACCCTGTGTCAAACTACAGTGGTGGCCTAAAAGGTCATTAATATCCATGAACAGCCAGTCCCGAGACTGAGACTTCAAAGCTGATACCCCAAGAACATTCATCCACTTCATTTCCAAAAACCTGGTTGAGTAGTCCAAGCTCTGACTCCATTCTGCACATGTTGGATGAGGGTGTAAAGCACAGAGTGCTTTTTTCATCCATGCTTTGTGGTTGGGCTGCTGTCTCACTGTGTCATTGAGAGGACAAGTGAACCATGTAGCCAAGACTCCTTCCCTCAGAGGGCAGAGGATTGATTTAAAAGACTTGTAGATGTGGTGTTTAGGGATGTGGTTTAGTGGTGGCCTTGGCAGTGCTGGGTAAATGGTTGGACTGGATCATCTTAGAGGTCTTTTCCAACCAAAACAATTCCATTGCTAATATTAACCTGTAGGAATCAATGAAGACCTGAAGCATGGTAGTCACAGAACCACATCTGGCTCATTCTGGCTCTGGTGTCTGCTAACAAGTATTAAAATAAACTCTATACTTAACAGGTTTGATTGAGAGTCCCTGGGAGCTTGAATGTGCCCCTCATGTGGAAGGCAAGTGTTGGATGACACACACCATGTTACTCCAAGCCAGTTGGTCTCAGACCTACAAATGATCCTGAGCACCTTTATTTTGATAGAATAGCCATAACTTTTGGTGTCAGTGTCTTTATTCCATGACTGGAACTGGTGGGTCCATGTAAATGTTCATGATGTTCAATTAGGGACTTAGTTGCTGCCAAATGTAGAGTAGGGTGTCCTAAACCCCCCCCTTACTAGTCCCTTGCAGGGTGCACTTCCCCCAGCAGGCTGCTGGCTGGCTGCTGTTTTCTCTGCACCTTCTTTTCCTCACCCCTATGATGACTTCTTCCTGAAGAAGTGGAAATTACTGTGTCTGCTGGCCCAGATATTCCCCTTTTCAGGGCCTTTAAATCATCTTAAACATCCTGTTGCTGTCTGATCCCCCCATACAGCTGGTTTTTGTGTGCTCCTCTTTGGTAATTCTGTTCTCTGTCAACTCTGAGAAGTTCACTTCTTCTTCTTGATGATATCAGGCTTACCTGTAAAACACAGCAAACAAGTCCCTGCTGAAGAACCAAAATTGGCTGCAAGTGGAGCACACTGATCTCCTCTTCTCTTTGGGAAATGGGTGCCCAAGTGATGAGCAAGGTGTTTATGAAACATACCTGCTGCTCCTCATAGTCACCTCTGGGAAGGCTCAGGGCTATCACAGACACCTTGTTCCTCAAGGTTCACTGCTTGGATGTTCTCTGCCTCCAGTTCTCCTGAAGGCCAGTGATGATGGGTTGGCCATTTTAATCAGGTCATGAGCAGCACAACATGTCCTTCAAGCAATAGAAAGTAGATTCATTGCTGCTTTAGGTTATTCCCAGGAGGAGAGAAAAGGAAATTTGTGCTGGCAAAAGGCAATTTTATTTGGAATCAAATTGCATCCACAGTTGGGTCTTTAACAGGAATGGAGATTTCAGGAGAAATTGGCATCTTCCCTAAAAATCAGCAGAAAAGAAAGCACGAGCACATCAACCCATGTTCTGGTAGTTTTTAGGGCCAGAGAAACCTTTATCCTCCTATAGCACCATCTCCTGAGAACCTCTAATCACAGTCCATGCCCAGTTTTCTCTCTCTTGCTGCTTTCCTGTGCCTTAAACAAGTCACTTTTTTGGTAAGGAAGCCTCTTCAAAGTGTGTGGCTTGGGACACAGTATCTCCACCTCACTTCATGAGGACAAGAGGAAATGGCCTCAAGTTGTGCCAGGGGAGGTTTAGCTTGGATACCAGGAACAACTTCTTCCCCAAAAGAGTTGCCAGGCCCTGGCCCAGGCTGCCCAGAGCAGGGGTGAAGTCCCCATCCCTGGAGGGATTTCCAAGCTGTGTAGATGTGGTGCTGAGGGATTAATGGTGGCCTTGGCAGGGCTGGGTTAACAGTTGGACTGGATGATCTTGGAGGTCTTTTCCAACCAAAACCATGCTGTGACTCCTAGAGCTGAGGTGGTTCTTAATTCTTCTCAGGCTGAGGATGTCCCTCCTCTTGGTCTGCACTTTGGAAAGCAGGGCTGGTGTTTCAGGGAGGTGGGAGCACCTAGAGGTTGCCAGCTGAGGATGGTGAGCAGCATGAGGAACTGAGCCTTATGGAAAGGATGGTCCTCATGCCAAACTTCTGCCTTGAGAAGAACATAGTCGTGTTTTTGCACCTAACAGTAGCCTTGATGGAAAAGTTTTCCAGATGCACTTCAAACTTCTCTTTCCACAGTCCTTTCTGATCTCCCTGACTCCTCTTTGGAGTCCCCAGCTGTACTTCACACCTTCTTCCTGTAGAAATAAGCACATTGGGAAGGGTAGAAGATGTTCTTGTCAGGTCTCCCTCATGCTTTTGACCTGGCTGATGTGTTGCAACAGATGTAACATGGTGGTGGAAGTTGTGGCACAGATACTCCAACATCTGCCTCATTTTTGGTCCTGATATTCATTGGACCACTGAAATGTGTTTGTGTTTTGTAAGGGTTGGAGCTGTGGACATGCAGGGGAGGGTTAAGGAAGGAATTCAACTTTTATTAGTAATTTTTAATAGAAATAAACCTTCACCTTGACTCCTACATGTTTTTCTGCAGGAGATTCTTTTGTGCTTATTGCTTTGTGGCATTCCAAGAATACACTGTTGATGGAACATGAGAGGAGCTGTGGTAGCATCATCCTTGAGATGGCCCAGCCACTATCTGGGATAAAGGAATTCTCAGCCTAAGCAAGTAGGGAGTTCAAGCTCTTGCTTTTTGTCTGCAAGGAATGGTATCATTAGTGATTATGTGGGGTTGTGGCCAAGCAGGTGGAGAAAAGGTGCCTGGATCAGCTGAAGGTTGGGGAAAATTTTACTCATTTTTGATTGTCTTGCATCTGGGGAAGAACAAGCCCATGGACTAGTGCAGGTTGGGGGCTGAGCTGCTGGAGAGCAGGGGAGGAGAAAGGGACCTGGGGGTCCTGGTGGGCAGGAGGATGAGCATGAGCAGCAATGTGTCCTTGTGGCCAAGAAGGCCAATGGCATCTGGGGTGGGTTAGAAAGGGGGTGGTTAGTAGGTCAAGAGAGGTTCTCCTGCCCCTCTGTTCTGCCTTGGTGAGGCCACATCTGGAATGTTGTGTCCAGTTCTGGGCCCCTCAGCTCAGGAAGGACAGGGAACTGCTTGAGAGAGCCCAGGGCAGAGCCACAGAGATGCTGGAGGGAGGGGAACATCTCCCTGCTGAGGAAAGGCTGAGGGAGCTGCGTCTGTTGGGCTTGG